GGGTATTATATTAATATATATGGAAGTTTGTCAGTGGCCAACAAAGGATTCGACACTTATGAAGATAAGTGAATTTCTTATGTGTTTCATAGTTAGTAATTCAAAGTCCTTGGCCAAGGCGGAATGAATAGAGATTCATAAATAAATTACTAAAACTTGAAATGGAATCATAATTATTAAATCACTTTGAGTTTCGATAAAATCATACCCAAAGATTTAAGTTGTGAAATTGGATTTTGAAAGGATTTTACATGTATGAACTTGTAATCGAAATAGGTTTACTCGCTATTCACTTAATACTAGATTCATGCTACTTGATAGATGTTCTCATGATATGTGGGTTCTTGAATAAGGAGTTAATTCATGAATAAGAGTTAATAAGATTAACTCAAATTACAAAGAGTTGTAAACCCACTACTAGTATTAATTGTGAACCTAAAAGGTCACACCAATTTTTGAATGAAGGTAAAATTCAAATAGTATTTTCAAAGAGTTAGAATTAATTGACAAATCTAATTTGATTATATATCAATTAAAGGGATATATTATATAAATCAATTAGATTGATTAATTGAATTTTGGATATTAATTTAGTAATTAATGGAATTACTAATTAATAGTTCAAATTTAAAATTGGATTTTAAATTTCAAATCTAAATAATAATAAGATTATTAAATAAGTAAATGGAAGAATAGATTAAAATAATAAAGTCTTGAAAAAATGTTTCAAGAATTATTATTTTATTATTTATCTTTAATATGATTGAAGATTAATTATTAATAAGAATAAATTAATTATGGTGGTTTAGAGTTGTTAACCAATCTACATAATTAATCCTATTTTTATTAATACAATATTGGGTAGGCATAGTCGTCTTCAAATTAATATTTTATAAAAATATTCTTGAAGACTTTTTATATTTTATGAAAATATTCTACCTAATATTATTATTTTATACTAAAATGTTAAGTATAAATATGGACATATTTGATGTTCAATTTTGCTAAGTTTTGGTTAAGTTCTTCCAAAGTGAAAAACATTCAAAGAGTTGAGTGATAAAACAAGAAAGAGTTCTTGTAAAATTTCCTTATAAATATATATTCTATACTTCTTGAAAAACCGAGTAGTTTCTACTAGCGAAGAAACTGTAGTCGGAACCAAAGTTCAAAAGGTGGATACGATTAGAGGGAAGACATTTGGATTCCTAAAGTGAGTAACCACAAGAAGTGATCGTTACCAAACCGGAAATCGATTTCCTCATACATCTTCATTTTGAAGGAGTCAAGAACAAAGGTAATTTTTAAATTACATGTCAAATCAAAATTAGTAAAAGTTACTAGATTTTAAATGATGCTTATATGTGATCTCGTTATATTTATGTACGGAATAAGTATTTATAAGATAGAAACTTATAAAATTTTAAATTCTGCTGCATTCTCTGTTCCGTACGGTATAACGAACCCAACACTTCCTTCCGGCGACCCCATCTTAGTGTGATTCCGGCGAGCATTGCGCTCACCCTAGGTCTGTCGGCGCGGTCGTGGTGGTCTGTTCGCCTCTCTCACTTTCCCCGAAATGGTTCCGCTCCTGTTACTGAGCGCCATGGACGAAGAGGTGGTGGAGGGGGTCGCTTGGCGTGGCGTCTGATGGTCGCTGCGGGTGTTCAAGGATGTCTGTGGCGGCGGTCCGACCTTGGTCTTCTCCTTTTCCGGCCTCCCTTAGTTGTTGGGTTGGTTGGGACCTCTTGCGGTGCTCGTGTGCAGGCCTGGGGTATGCGTGGAGGGGCTGTGGTTTTGGATTGGCCGGTCCGGGTTTGCGATTCCTGGAGGAAGCTTCAGATCTAGGGCCCGTTTGGCCTGTAGTGTAGGGGCCTCTTCCCGGTTGGTCGCGTGTGGATGTTTTTCGGGTTGTGCGAAAGGTGGGGGTGTAGCCCGACGGGTAGGGCGTTTTTATTTTTAGGCTTTGTTGTGTTTTCTTTTTTTCTTTTTGTGGGTTGTTTTTAGTGTGTTTTTGGGTGTTGTCGGTTTGTGTTGTGTTTTCTGTGTGTAGGTTGGGCTCGTATCTCTCTATTGGGAGTTTCCTTCTCCACTTGTGGGAGTGTCCTTCTCCACTTATGGGAGTGTCCTTCTCCTCTTGTGGGAGTGTCCTTCTCCACTTGTTGGA